TACAAGGACACAAATATTATAAATGACTGTAAAAAATTAGTGGAATCCATGCCGAATCGTGTCCAAATGTTAATAAAGTGTCGTGGAGATCATATTATGTACTAAAAATTTTTGAGTTTGTATAAATTTAAATAAAATAGCATTTTCTCTTAGTTTTCTGAATTTATTGAGTTTGTTTCAATTAATTTGCACAAGGGTGTATCATCGAAACGATGAAAAATAATTATAAATGAATTTGAAAGAGGGTTATTTAGTGCGTGGTAATTCTCGAACTAAAACTACCTTAAACAAAAGCAATTAAAAAATTTAGAATTTAAAATTCTCGAATTCGAAATGAACCAAGATCTGATTAATTCAATTTAACGTTTTTCTTAAATATTTTTTTTACACGTATAGTAAAATTCATAAATACAGCAACAGGTAATACTTTCCTGGTGAACGAACTTTCCTTCATCAGGCTTGAAAGTGTAAAGCAAATAAAGCGGGTTGTTTATGACATTATAATTGTAACCTAGGCAGAAAAAGAATAATAACTCTACTGAATAAGAGAATGACATTTGTTCACTACAGTTGGAGTTGAAGCTATAATTACAAGAACAAATTTCCCCACACAAGATTCAATGGACTGTAAATTTTATTAAAGAAAAAAAATCAGACAAACGCATGCCACCTCTCCCTTCAAATTGTTTCCTACACATACTCTATTCTCTCCTTCACGAATTTATGTGCACAAGGTGACAAGAAATACTTTCAACAAATACGACACACAAATTTATTTGTTTATTAAAATATTCGAACCAAACTTTCAATTAAAAAGGAAAATGTTACAACTTATTTACAAATTTTTAAAATTACTACTTTTGCCATGTTTTCTGCCATGAAACGCACTCACATCTTCATATTTCTTTTCCTAATCCTTGCACAAGAATTTTTTGGGGATGTCAAAATTTTAAAATGTTTAGTAAAAATCCTTATGCGTAAGTTTCAACATGTATAAAAGTTATGTGATCTATTGGGGCGTAAAGTGATTTTTCTTCTGCTATAAGAAAATAAAGAAATTTGTGACCAACCATGACGGTTCTTTGCTCTACATGATGGAACAGAATCCTGTTAAAGATAAATCTTTGAATCAAGCAAAACAAGGTGAATAAAGCATACATACAGGTACAGTCGGCAAAAAAAGAAATCACAATGAATAACTTTCGTTCAAATGATCGGATTTTCACGTACTAAGTGTCAATCTTAAGGATTCTTGGGGGTGACCTTAAATATGCAAATGTATTTAGTGTTAACTATTAATTAAGTTACGAAATCAGATACAAAAACGTACTTTCTAGGAATAAAAATATATTTATTTTTACATATTTGGATTTTGAACCTTCAAAATATAGGAGGTAGCCGCAATCTGANTCGTTCTAATGATCGGATTTTCACGTACTAAGTGTCAATCTTAAGGATTCTTGGGGGTGACCTTAAATATGCAAACGTATTTAGTGCTAATTATTAATTAAGTTACGAAATCAGACACAAAAACGTACTTTCTAGGAATAAAAATATATTTATTTTTACATATTTAGATTTTGAACCTTCAAAATATGGGGGGTAGCCGCAATCTGGGAAATATGATCCCCATAGTTGGGTCAGGAGAGCGATCCAAAGTTCGGACCCCTTAATGTTAATTTCACTTTTTGCTTTTTTAGTCATATTTTTAAAACTAATGAAGCAATTAAAAAATGCACCCATTTATAAAACCTATTTACCCAAAGATAATTGCATGCAAAAAATAATTTTTAATAATTATTTATTATCATTTAATTCATTTGAACAACTGTTTCTTCAAACTTTCTTGTCAAGAAGACTCGATTAAAACTGTAAAAATGATTATCTCTAAGATTTTGCATATAGTTGTAATAATTTATGTAAATTTGATTTTAGAATGAAATCATCATTTAAATAAAACAAAACAACATAAAAAACGCAAATCATGTAGTCAAATTCTAAAAGCTTAGAAAATCATAAATACTTCATAAATCGATTCAAATTTTCTCTTTAAAGGAAGGAGATTGAAAAAAAAAAATTACGTTTTTTGCAAAAATCAGTTTAAAAATTGTCAATAGCCTTGAAACTTCGAGTTATTTTCTATTAACTATTATTAAAACCTCTCCGAGCAATCGCAGAACATTATTTCAATTTTTTATAGTTTAAAATTGATTGCTTAGCAACCGAGTAAAATTAAGTATTTCTCTCTTGAATTAGTCCATGGGTTATTTCAAAATATTCATTTGCGGTGGCGACTTTACTCGGCCGTTTTCAAGGCCCTTCTTGGCTGTTATCGCCAAATATATATATCTTTATTGCGAACCAATTACGACCCAAATTTTTCGAAGTTTTGTCTATTCTCCCTATTTCAAGGGTCAGGATTCCAAATATGTAAAAAAATATATGTTTATTCAGAGAAAGTACGTTTTTGTGTCTGATTTCGAGTTTGAGGTTACCCCCATTAGCCATTAAGATTCGCACTTAGTTCATGAAAATTCGATCATTAGAACGAAAGTTATTCAGGGTGATATCTTTTTTTTTTTTGCCGACTGTACAGAAATGGAGTCTGTGTTCCAAAAACAAGAAACTTCTTCAGTGTCTAGAAATCAGAGGATAAAAAATTGTTGAATGGTAAAATCAAATCATGTTTCTGTTTCGGTATCATTATGTATAAGCAGAATTATTTCGTTCAGAAACATCGTTGAGCATTGATCAATATCGTTAACAGCTGACAAATTTATGCAGTATTATGTTCAATGCGTTTCTTGTTTGAAAAAGTAATAATAAAATTGATCTGAACTATACAAGATAAAGGAATCCTTTTATTGCTTCACTGCGAAAGTTTCATGTATAGCCCTTTGTTACAAATTGAAAAAATATACATTCAAAAAATTTAAGGTTACTAAAATTTAGACACATCACTGAAATCTATTAAAAAATTCTACAAGTATAATACTTTATACCACTTCGCAACAAAATATTATCATTTTAAAATTGAAATAAATAATAATATAACAATTTGCAAAACAATGAATGGCTATGTTGGCAATATTGTAAACTTATCTACACAGAAGAAAAGAAAATCTGAAAAATTACCGTACAGCATGATAACAAAATTTCTAGTAAGAAAAAACAACAACGTAATTTTGATAAATAAATCCAAAACATAAGTTTTTAAACCATTTATTTCGGTAATTTTTCCGTTCATATTTATCGGAAATTCTGGTTTTTAAAATTATAATTCTTATTACCACACATTTAGTAAAAATACAAAACTGAAAAGTAAATTTAACCAAATAAATGGTTTCACGCCTTGCTCTAAGATAACATGATAAAACTACTAAATTCAACCACATTTACAAGTTTATAAATTGTTATAAAATTATATTCAAATTGATTACTAATTAATAATGAATAAATATAATTACTAAATAAAATTATTGGTAGTTAATCAAAATCATTAACAAAACGATTCGGCAATAATTACTAAATATTTTGGTATAGAGTTAGAAACATATTAAATTTATCCATATGCTAGCAGGTTTTAACCGGACTTTATTCTACCAGACTTTTTAATATATTCAAATAAATTATTAATTAATAATGAATAAAATATAATTAATAAATAAAATTAGTGGTAGTTAATCAAAATCATTAAAAAAACAATTCGGCAAAAATTACTGAATATTTTGGTATAGAGGTAGAAACATGGTAAATGTATCCATATACTGGCAGGTTTTAACCAGACTTTATTCTACCTGACTTTTTAATATATTCAAATAAATTATTAATTAATAATGAATAAAATATAATTAATAAATAAAATTTTTGGTAGTTAATCAAAATAATTAACAAAACAATTCATCAAAAATTACTGAATATTTTGGTATAGAGGTAGTAACATGGTAAATTTATCTATATTCTGGCAGATTTGACCAGACTTTTTCTCAGAGTAATATTAATTCTACAGAAATAAAGAAGAAAATAACCCACACCTTTCAATGCTAACAGCAGTAAGATTCAATACAGATGCCATGCCAGATAACATCTCGACGTATGAACTAAGTTTGCAAATGGTTCCTCCAGCATCCCACGTGATAACAAAATAACCCATCAGCTCCAGAGGGACGTAAAAAACCAACAAAATAAGATCGGCAACAGCAAGGCTCACTAAAAACGTGCACGTGGGTGACCTAAAAATCAAATTTTGTCAAATTGAATTTTTTTCTTTTTGAAGAAAAATTAAAACTTGGTATTAAATATGGACTCGTTTTAAAAAAAAATTTGTTAGTAAACAAAAAAAGAAAGTTGTTTTTCGAGGTTAAGATCCTTTAAAAATTATGTTTGTTGAATTATAAAATTTTCGGAAAAATTGATTCATAAACATTGATAAACGTCAACGAAATGAAAGTTTAAGCAATATTTGCTGACAAAAACTCATAAATTGCTTTGGAAATACACATAAATTGAAGCATTGTAAATTCATTATCAAGGAAAAAAATATTCTCTAATTACAATACTTACTCTTTCTTTTGACGTATTTTAAGAAATAAGTTTGATAGAAACATATTTATAATTAAACTTATCGCCAATTAATATTTAATTATGAAAAAAGCTATCTTTCATCTTTTATTTAAGAATTATCTTTCAAAAAATGAATAACCTTTGAATATTTTACTTCTTTTATAGCTCAAAATAATTCATCACATTATGACGATTTTTGTTGACAAAAACTCGAAAGAAGAACCATGTAAAATGGAAATGCGCAAAATGCCTACACACGTAATGACACACGTAAATAAATTTGTTAAATAATCCCGAGAAACTGAAGTGCTTAAAAATTTAGATATAAGGGACATAAAAAATATATGTCTTATCAAGAATACGAGAATTCCTCAATTGCTGCACATTGTTGGAATCTTGGGCATAAACTCAATTTCGTTAGCGCCAAAATTAATTCCACCTCAGTCACATCAGCTCATCTTGATGCTCTGGAATCCTGCTTTATTCTTAATAATGATGATTTTCTTGCTAACGATATAAGTTCTTCACCATCTCTTCATAACTCGTGGAACCCTGATTTGTCCCTTTCAGCCACAGTGATTTTTCTCCTTCAGTTTTTCTGATGTTTATTTTTATTCCCTCTCGGTTACGGAGGTTTTTCATGTTTTTTCTCACCTATATTTTCCATTTTTCTTTAGTAACTAAACGTTATATTTCAAATCACTTGTGCTTCTTCTCATTCAGGTCTGGCAGGTCTTGAAAATGGACGCTTGTAACACGTCGGCTGTTATTTCCAATCTGTATATTTTTGAAGTTATTGGAGTTTTTTTTTATTCAAGTAATACCTTGCAGCTTCAGTTTCTAAGGATTATTTATTAATTGACTTACGTGTGTGTTTTAGTTACTTCATTCTTAGCAAAAATTTTAAAAACGTATCATAAAGCGGTGGTAATGAAACTCCACGTGTATATGACGCGTTCAATGTGTGCAGTAGTTTTTTGGTTTGGCATATGGCAAATTCCATTTTTCACGGTTTTCCTTTTGAGTTTTTCGAGAAGATATCGTCAAAATATCATTAATCATTTTAAGCATTATCATTTTAAGCATTTAAGCAAAGGGAGCATTATTTCTTGAAATTTAATACTTAAATCAAAGATGATAAGTCCCGCAGTGGACTGATCGTTAAGACACGGTTCCCAGCAGATCACCGAAGTCAAGCATCACCGGTTGCGGCCAGTATACGGGTGGGTGACCACTTGGATCAGTCTGCGTAGGGACCGAGGGTGTGCGGTATTGGTCCTCGTTAAACTGTTCTACTGTAAAGTGCTCGACTTCGCGTGCAGGTCGTCAGGCTACCGAAGCAGGGGTGCCATCCCCTCTGCACAGGATCAAAATTGTGATGGCATGTCTTCGGATCATCCTCAGGGATGTTTCCCAGACCGTCGCCAATAGCCAATTGTGCAGCTCTAGTGCGACGTAAATTAACAACAACAACAAAGATGAAAAATCCCTTTTTTTCGCAATTAAATATTAATTAGTGATTCTAAAAATTCTGTCAAACTTGTTTTTTAAAAATGTTTAAAGAAAGGGTAAGCATTGTAATTACGGAATAATTTTTTTTTCTCGTTGAATAATAAATATAGAAGTTGTAAATAGAGTGAAGCAAAGGAAATATTTTAAAATTATTTTATTCATTTTACAGAATAAAAACAATTGATAGTTTCCTTTAGAACTGATGAATTAGTATACAATGCTTCAATGTATGTGCATTCGCAAAGCACTTACCTTAATATATGAATAATAAAATCTTTCATTAATGGTATAATGTACAATCAATAAAAAATTGAGAACGTTAATCATTTTAAATATGACTCTATTAAAAATATTTGTAAAACTAATTTCGTTGTCTGTTAAATATATCAATGAAATTATAAAGAAAAAATTAAATGAAAAATATAAATTTATACTTCAATTTTTTAAACTGAGAGGAAAGGATCATTTAATAATCTAGAAATGAAATAATAAATAAATAAAGAATGAAACAGACATATGCTAATTGATGTGATTTTTTTTTAAATTTACATTTTATTAGCTGAATGTTTACTCTTTCTTCTTACTGGATGAATAAAAAAAATCAGTCAGTAGTGAACATGCACAAAACTGAATCATGCACATAACTAAAGGGCATATTCCGACGCAATCGAAGTTCTTAGTGGAAGAACCAGGTAAGTGACATTTTAGGGGTATTTATGAATCAGTTAAAATAACAAAGGTGCTGCTTCCATACGGGTATATTTAATGTAACAGAATTGTTCTTGTTTTCACTGTATTATCAACATATCTTAGCCACATTTCTTTTAGTATGCTTGCTTGATTTTAATTTTTGAATTAGGCGATGAAAAATAAAATGAGGCAAAGAATTAATAGTCCCACCTTCTAATAAATCGGTGATAAAATAGTTCAGAAACAACTTACTCGAATTTTCTTACCCTGATTGTAGCCTCTATGCAAATGTCACTTACCTGGTTTTTCCACTGAGTTCTTCAACTTGTAAAGTTAAATTAATTTTATTTTTTTTATTCGTAATTATTCGTTTAAAATAATTTAATTTATTGTTTACAATATTTGTAAGTAGTGGAGAAAAAAGTTCCTTTAATTCTAATTCATTGAAATATAAATACACCTTTGCTACCACTGGAAAAAATATGTTCTGAAAGTTCGACAAACCCATTGCAGAATTTCTCTTAAAACTTCGCCAATTACCATAATACCAGTAGAATATATTACTGAAATTACATAATTAAGCGGAATAGGCTGGTCGGTTGGGAGCTGGGCCCATGTCCGAGAGTTCGTGGGTTCGAACCCAGATGGCCTAAGACTGTAGTTGGTGACTGATGCACGTTAAAATTCTGTCGAGTCGCAAAGTCCTCCATGTTCGCATAACAAATCAACACCTCTGGGGGTACTGGATTGGAGATCGATCGTTCTCTGATTCAGGTCAAAATTAGGATCTGTGGATGAATGAATGGATGTATGAATGGGTCCGCCTTATAAACAGGTGTGACGACATGGTGAGGCGAAGTTGAATTCTTGGCCATAGATGGCACCACTGAATAACAAGAATCGCACACTCTGCCTTAAATTCGCTTGGTTTCACCAAACAGGCTCGCCCGAGTTGCAAGTGGCATTAGAACCAACCAATCAACATAATTAAGCGTCATCTGCGCAAGGTTCCGCTAAACGAATTTCCAATTAACCTTTTATCCATATAATTTTCATAGAAATAATAGAAAAATATTTGAAAACAGAATAAGAATTAATTTGTTAAATTTGAGGAATTAATTTGACACAATTATGAATTTAAAGTATACACATTTATATTAGTAATGTAGGCTGCCTGAATATATTTAATGAAATTGAATATATTAAGTTCCGTATGCAAATCATTTTCACCTGGTTGGCTTGGACCCTGCCCAAGTCACGATAACAACCATATTTCCAACAATGCCTAGGAAGAAGATTATGCTGTGGGTGAGGACAATAGGTACAAAAGATGGATTAATAGCTAATGGATTCAGCATATCCTCAGGTGTCTCAAAGAATATTCTAGTTGGTTCTTCACACACCGCTTCTGACTTTCCTGAATCACAGCTTTGATTCTTCATTTCTTCTAATCTAGTTAAAGAATAACAGAACGCAAACTTAGAAACAGATTTACAACAATGTATTTAAATGAATGAATGTAAGGACATTTAGTAGTGAAATAAGCGAGGAGAATATTTCAAATAAACGCAAAGTTGAAAATCTGGCTGGCATTGTGAAACTGGCATCGACCGGCCATTTGCGAAATAATTATGCTTTCACACATTGCATAGAAATTCGATTCCACGTTCTATTACAGTCAATACCACAATATACATTAAATACGGCTTAGAAAATAGAAAATCTGATTAGTTCTTGAAAAAGTATGAAATTGATATTATTTCTTGGTGAGCCAGTTTCTTCATTTGTTTCGTTTTATTAAATAAGAAACTCATAAAATTTTAGTAATTGTTATGTATTATTAATGATAACAGTTTTAACTGGGGAAAATAACAATTCAACGATTCGCGGACTATTCACCTTTTTCTTACACTGATCCCTTTCTTTAAGTAAAGTGACATTGCCCGGTATTCCTTACACTGAAACTTTTTCTTAATGGGATGTATTTAATAACTATATATATGGACGAAAAATAATTTTTGTGGCACAAAAATAATAATTTATTAAATAAAAAAGTTACTAAATAAGTTTTTTTTAATCAAAAAGTTTCTTTTTTTTTGTCAAGAATTATAAAGTAAGAAATATAAGTACTGTGTTGCTTATTTCTATGTTAATTGCGTGTGTCAAACTATAATATCATATTTTCACAGAGAATATTAGCTATTGTTTATTTACTCTATGCAGTATATATAAAAATTCTTTTGTTTAAAAGTACCTAAAAAGTATGACATTTGATACTAAGCATAAATTTCGTGTAATGCCTAAGTTAGTACAGAATACTCGAAAAACTTCTGCCAAAGTCAGATAATTAGTCATTTGTTTATACAGTAAACTCTCCTCGTAAATGTAACGAATTTCACCAAAATTTAAATTGACCATTAATTTACAGCCAGCTCAAGTCTTATTTTATTTTATTAACTGTCATTGAACTGCCTACGCAATTTTGAGTTTACGACTACCAATGTTAAACTCTGAGGCCTTGTAGTTTTGAACCCAATGCTGAAGACAAGGGAACTCATGGATCAAGTATTGGGAGACATTTTTCTTCGTTGAGAACTTTTTGATTGAACTAATCGTGTTACTTGGAGAGAAAAACCACGAAAACATTTTACGGTTAGTCTGGCGGCAAGGGTACTCTAACTCATGATCCGTCTACCACTGAGAACATTCTACGTTAGTAATCTGGTCGGTGTAAGCCGGGTGCGGAATTCAAATTGACCAGTTATCGATGGGATTCGAACCTGGGGTTTCTCTTTGGGTTTCAAGCGCTTTGTCCTTTGAGATACTACGGCCCAGCTCTAGTCTTAGACAAAAAAATCCCAGTGCCCTGAATCGTAATGAAGTTAGGAATTAGTAGTCTTGACCGCTGGAGTCTTGAACGTTTATTATATGATTCTGACTAATTCATTCTGGATTGCAGCATCGCCTTATGCGAACTAAGTTTCCGGTTTGAAACGCAGCCTGCTCAAAAGAGTCTCTTTTGCACCCCATCTACATTTTTAACCACGGTAAGTGAAATCCTGGACAGATGGCAGCACTTGCAGCTTTCAAACTATTTATTCTATTGGTTGTGATAAACTCATTCAGTTTAATGTATAAAAATACATAAAAAAAAATATGAGTTGCTTAGATATCAATATCGAATAAGTTAGCTGGTACCAGTATAAATTTGTATTTTTTGTGCATTAAACCATTGTAATTTCTTAACTATTAGTCCGATTGATTTGGGACTGGTCTAATTCAATTCAGTGTGAAAGAACAGAAATAATGTTTCACTTGCCAGTCTAGATGAAATTCAACTCTTTCCTTCAAATCGGTTTCCAGGTAACATTAAAGCTGTGTTTCTTGACCTAACAAAGCTATAATAAAAAAAGGTAATATAAAAGCCAGAGTGAGTGTAGAATCCGAAAGAATAAGAAAAATTAAATTGTAATTATTAAACAGGAATGAACTAGTTGTTCCATAAGCTGAACACAAATAAATTTGAAAAATTCAATCTCAAGATATATAAAAGTAGAAAGGTAATTTAAATTTCCCATTGGTTCATAACAAGTTTGCTCAGAGTAAAATTATTAATTTTTTATTGCTTTTAAGCAATAGATTAAGTTATATTTTGCTTACAATTCAACTATGCACCCTTATATATTTGATATTTACTAATATCTCCATCCTTGCTATTAGATCTCTTCGTAATTTAATCTTTTCGAACTACTGAAAACATATGAAATGTAATAGATATTGGAAATTTAACTTTTATGAAACGATAGATTCTATTTGTAGAGAGAGAGAGAGAGAGAGAGCTTCTGGGCAACATATAATGAAAGAGAAATATCATTTATTTACGAAAACAAACATCGCGTCCGTTTTATCGAATATATTCATATGTGATTCAATAGCTTATGAACTTGCATGCTACTCCCTTTTGTTTCATCGAATTATTAATGCATTTGAAACGTTTGGTACTCAATATTCATTATTATAAGGATTTTAACATTAAATATGAGATTTACATTGTTTGTAGAAATCATTTAGAATTTCTTCTTTTTATATGGAAATACAGAACCTCTGTTTAAGATGAATTTTTCAGTGGTTTATTACAAATCAGAGGAAAAAAATTACGTCTCCAATAATTGAATCCATTTGAATCCATTTTAAATCCATTTTGAATCCCATTTGAATCCATTTTGAATTATGAGGAAGACAAAATTTTATGTAAGTTAAAACTGTGCAAATCTAAATGATAAAATACGAAATCTTTTTTAAAATAAGTCTGAAAATTTCTTAAAAAAGGAAAATATAAAAATAGGATTTTTTTTAAATCGTTCACATTTTGCATTTTTAATTTAATTATATAGCTTAAAATGATGCCAAAAATTTTATACGTCACAAATGAAATATTTTCGTTCTTTATCAAATAAGGAAAAGAACAGATGTTTATTAGAAATTATTTTCGGTAAGCTATATTTGTAATCGTTTTCAATATAACAAAATACGTATAAACTTTATTTGATATTAAAAGGGTGCAAGCTTTCAATAGGCCTTTCAGCTTAATAAGTTCTGAGAATATACTTAGATAGCAGGCAAACTTGCATTTTCATTTTGATTTGGTTTGCCATAGAATTGTTAACTAATTAATCCTTTTTTAAACTTAGTATAAATATTAGTATGCCAAGCTTGTTTCCTTTTAAAGATGAATTAAAGGCATGCAAATAAAATTTTCAAAGAATTCTCATTATTTAGCTTTTACTGTAAACCTTGTTTTTGCCATATTTTCATTCTACCTTTGTCCAGGCTCTCAAATGCAATTTGCTCCTCAATGCTCCTCAATTTGAGTTAAAACGAGACGACTATTTCAACTCAAATGTTGTGTCAATAAAAATGTAGTTTCAATAGCTTAAGGAAAATGAGAAAAAAAATACAGGATCACAGAAAATAAATAAATAAAAATAAATAAAAATATTAAATAAATAAAATTATAAAGGATATGAAAATTTATGCATCTAATCTTCAGCAAGTTTTATCTTTTTATGCACTTAAGTACATAGAAATGCAGATTCTTAAATAAATATACGCTTTTGAGAAAAATAATTTTTTCAAAAAGGAAAATACTTAGTCTTGAAAAAAAACTTACAGTGCAATAATATCTTACCATTTAAGAAATCTCATTGAATTACTAAATAAATATTTATGCACTTTTAATTCCATTCAGTAGTTCATAGAAGAAAGAATATTTTTAAGTTTTAAAAAGAAGCACCGAATGAATTAATTCTAAAGTATATATGCTATCTTCAAATGTGTTTACGAAATTAAAAGCTACAATGAACATTTCATTAAAAAATTAATTTTAATTAATTTCTATTCATTTGTTTTCTTAATTTAGAAGATATAATTATTTTGATAGTTTTTAGGGAATCAGATAATCTTTGATAGCAAAAGCATACAATTAAAATAAATTTGTTATTTACTAAATGATTTTTGCAAGAGTGAGTTCATTCATAAAAATAAATCTTTACCACGAAAGGGTGGGATTTCATTTATATCTAAGAAGGTAAATTAATTTCTTTTCCAGTTTTGAAGCCTACAAACATAAAACAGACAACAATAACATTAACCAATTTTCATGTTTCGCCATTTTTTGCGTTTCTCCATTACTATTGATCCAATTACAAAAAATGTCCCTAGTCATCTGAATAGTATTTTACGAAGAGATAACTTCGAATACATATTTATTAATTGTTAGAAAGATCAAAAATGTTTAAGTCATTAAGATTTTTTACTTTGCATTTGTTTTTATTTTTTATGGCGGAAAATATAAGGAAATTATTTTTTCAAGCTTAAAGAATCATCGAAACACGCGAAGATTTGGATTCTTAATTCGACGTTAGTTAGTGTGGGATTTAATTATCGACTATGTCAACCTTCATCTATCAAAAGATATCTCAAGATCGGATCGAGTTAGCATGTCTTATATACTAGTGATTTAGTATTTAATATTTGTGGTGGTAGTTATGCCACATTACTCCTCTTCCAGAATTTCATCAGTGATAGAATTCGATGAACGAATACCACTAGTTGATTAATGCAGTTTATTTATTTATATTAAATTTGCTCATTATATTTCTTATTCATTTTCTTCTTAATTTTTGTTTCTAGCACTTAGGTCATATTTTTCTTCTTCTTCATTTTTTGATTTATTACCGGGAGACTTGATTTACTTCAGATTTTTTCTTCTTTTCTTTGAGGGGAATTATAAATCGACTATGTCAACCTTCATCTATCAAAAGGTATCTCAAGATTGAATCGAGTTAACATGTCTTATATACCACATTACTCCTCTTCCAGAATTTTATCTGTGATAGAATTCGATGAACGAATACCACTAGTTGATAATTGCAGTTTATTTATTTATATTA